TATGATAAATTGATAAACAGTAGTGTGAGTGCTCTCGCCGATAAGTTAACAGCTTAACCAGGGTGGGCTATAGGAGCATTAACTTGAAAATACTGGGGGTATTTTCGGCCCAAATTTATCCAATAACGACATGGATGTGCCCAATCAGGATTTGGGTGGGTACAGTGCAGGGCCAATATATCCTGCAAAGTGGTTGACATATTAGATGGACCGATTACTTCGGTGATTTATTAGGCCCTCATAAATGTATAAAGGTTTTCTTTTCGTTGCGTAACCTTATGTTTTGCACTAAGCATATCAAAGTATATGACTGAAGTTTACTGATTTATTATTGAGCAATGATATTATCTATCCATATTATAATATGTATATTGGTTATGCCACGTGATCATATTTTTGTATCACACAATAATTTTTCCTCTTTTTTTTGTCGAAGTCACAATAATTTTTCTTAGTTATTGCAAACTTGATATAAGTTTTCCTTAGCAAAATTTTTATTGATTTTAACGGAATACTTAATAAAGTTTTGGTTTATAGTTTGATATAATCTTTTTTAGTTTGGAATAAGATATTTTAAAGTATATATAAAATTTTAGAGTTTTTATTCCTACATTGAAGTTGGGATGGCCGGTGAAGTCATACCGTAGTAGTTAAGAGTGTTTAACCTCATAGTGAGTTGGAGTTTCGAAACCTGCCCCTGGCATTAGATTTTGTAATAATAAAAGGCTTCAACTTGAAGTTGTGTGTCAAAAATCAGTGGGTCTACATGGGATTGGGGTGTCTCCATCAAGACCTTACTCTAAAATTATAAATTAAACGACGGAGCTTTTTAGAGATGAAGCATATAGTAAGAGTTTGATTGTTGCCCTCTCCTTTCTATAAACAAATAAATAAACAATTATATAAGTCCATGAACTCCAAACAAATCTAGTGGCTCTTCATAAAATATATATAATTAATAAATTAATAAATAAAAACAGAAGTTTCCCCTAAAATAGTAAAACGCAATTGAAGGTGCCTCGCTCAATCAGGAAAGAAGGATAAGAACTTACCAGAAAAGAAAAGAAAAGAAGGATAAGAAATTAAGCAGAGAAAGAAATATATATATATATATATAGGTTGTAAGGTATGAATGCGACTATGCGAGTGAATGGCCTCTCTGCTCTGCTCTGTATATATCACCTTTGCCTAAGAGTCAATGACACAAGCAACCACCCAGGCAATGACCACCCACTGAACTTCTCAGGTTACTAAAAGTCTGGTCAGGACGATGGGCCCCTAATTTATAAAATGATACTGCTTGCGTGATTCTCGGGAAGAAGATACTTTTCTTTTTTGTAAATTACAATTTGATGTATCTGTAAACATTATTCATAAAAAATACAACTTGGTCCTGTCATGTAAATGCATGAAAACTATACTTTGCTTATGGTGAAAGAAAAGAGTAATCCAACCCACTTCAATAGAGCTAATTAGATTATGTGAATTACATAGGGTCGTTTGGTATGACATATAAATTGTTTGCTCATATATTATGAAAAAAAAAATTAGAATATTCAATTCAAAATTAATTAATAGTGAATAACGAAACTTGTGACGTTATATTTGCAACTTTGCAACATATCCATCAAGCGAGAATCTCATATATATGAGAAATTTCGCGTAGGTTTCCAGTCATCTCCCACATTGAATAAAAGTTAGTCAACCTCTTGATACCTTTAATATTGTTGATTTTTTTATCTATATATATAAAGCAAAATGCAGAGAATAGTGAAACATTCAAAATACCAAAAAATGTCCTTGATTAATTCAAATATTAAAAATTGAAATTATTAATTAAATGAGGATAATATAGTAAATTCACATTTTTTTATATTAAAAAAACAAAATCAGATAATAGGTCATACTTTTATGGAACATAACTAACCATGTTATCTTTTCTTAATTCTAAAATAAAAAATAAAACCAATTGGCACATGTCAAGAGGCTAGCTAGTATTAATAAAAGCTATAGAGAAGTACTACAGATATTCTTGATTAAAAATTTTGAATGCATGCATGATGCACATATATATAAAGCTTTTGTTTCAAAACCCTTACGATGCCCACGGGCTGGCGGGAACTCAACGCTGAACAGATTGTTTAATTAATTTAATCTAAAAACGACAGGAAGTGATTAATCTTGAGAGGCTGCTTTCTAGGTAATGGATTTTGCCACTCCCACCTCCTTCATCTCATATCAAAGCCATCAATACAAGATAATTGCATACACCACACTCATTATGAATTTATGATACATGCATAATATCATGCATCCACCATAAATTAACCTCCTAATCCACTAGTGTAATATTCCCACAAAATAAATATCGAAATGATGGGTTTTTTAATTATCGTAATATTCAGGCAACAATCAATATAATCAATGGTTCAGATTTATAGTATGGCAACATAAGCATTTGTTTGATAAGAGAACGTCAATCCTCATCTTATGATATAAAACTTAGTTAAGTAGTCACGTAATAAGAGATATAGTCACACAAGACTCCAATTACGTAAAGTCCCACATAAGCTTCTCTCACAGCTGTTAAATATTACTGTCCCACATAATTAAGCTTCTCTCGAGTCTCACTGTTGAATTTTGTAGATTGCGTGCATGGTTGTTAAATATATTATTGTCAAATTAATGACTTCGAACTGAGAAATTTAGTTGAAGCATAAACAATTGTCGGTTCTTTTTTCCCTTTTCAATTTCTTGCACTATAGAAGCTCCTGCTGCTAGGACATTACACTTGAAAATAAGTGCAAATGGCTTACAAACAATTTAACTCTCTGGAATTTATGAACACACAAGAGAGTAGATATTCTGACAGTCCATCCTTATATGGGGAAGTGATTGAAACTTCATGAATAAATTTTCAGAGAGAGAGAGAGAGAGGCTATGAAGAGAAGAACATAAATGAAGGGAAGAAGAGGTGGGTTGGGAGCATTTAACAGAAGCAAATAAACGGGTGCTGATGAGAGTGACGAAGAAAGATATATGTTGAAGAAAGTGAGGGTGGTTTCAATGGTCATCCTTGAATTCTGCATTGAAGTGAATTCAAGATGATTTAATGAAGGCAGGTGAACAATACTTGAAAACTCTCTCTCCCTCAAAGCCTTTAATACCATTGGGACCCTTTTGGGTCTTTTTTTCCTTTTAAATTTCTTGGTTTATCTATTTTTTTTTTTTTCTTTCTCCATTTTCTTGTTTTCAATTTTGTGGCTACCTTACAAAAATACCCTTTGTTAGGAAAACATTTTTTGTGTGTGTCCTAACTCATTTGACTAGTAGCAGTAAACAGTCCTGGTATTTATGTCATTAGTTGCCTAGTCTATTGAGGGTCCCTCACCAATTTATATTTGGTTGGTGAATTTTGGCTAAGTATACCTCTCCAAGAAAAGGAACTTATTGGCACTCAACCTTGAGGCCAAAAATGGTATTCTCTTCAAGGATATAAGAAGCTGAAGAGAAAAAGCAAAAAAGAAAAAGAGTAGTTAGGATAGGAAGGCCATGAATGAAACTCAATTAATGTCTCTTTTTTATGTTATCATTTTTAATTTTCTTTTGTTTTTTAAGAAAAAACTTATTATTATGAAGGACAGAAATATTAGGTACTTCAACTGCCTACTCCATTAGAAGCTGAACTCAAAACTGTCTCTTTAATAAGGGTAGAGGTACCACCACACTACCTCTTTAATCAGTGACATCAATGAATTTTTGGTGCATGATGCTTGCAATACATAAGCTGTTCACATGTTTAAGGATATTTCATTATGATAAAACTATTTATCAATAAAAAGATTATTGCTTTTTTTTTTAGTACAAACGATAATCTAAACTACAGGAGAGGGGATTTCTCACACACGAAAAACAACAATTAAAAAGACGGCATTTTGATGACTTGTTGGTCCAAGAATAAATAGGGGACCCTGATATTAGGAGCAAATGGATATTTTGGGGGGCATGAATGGCAGGGTATGCTTCATAAAAATAATGAAAAAACCAAACAAAAATTCAATAAAGAAAATAAAAATATAGGACATATATATGGTTGATTTACAATTAATAGCCGATGGTGTTGAGAGCTTTAAAGGCATAGTTAAATTAGTTGCAGAGATTAATTTCATGGCTCATGTCATGGAATGAGGTTATTGATGGCTGAGAGAGCTTGGGTGTTGAGAGCTTTAAAAGTTTCTTGTTGTTCTTTGAGTAACTCAATTGTGGGAAGTTGGAGTTATTGTGTGTATTAAAGATCCCATAGCCATTCAAGACCTTCTTCAACCGTATACAGACTCTCCTCATTTAATGACCACTTCACACACCTTCTTTCCCATCTCACCGCCTCTCATGAGTATCATAACTTGGTATTTGAAGTACATTTGGCTTGCAACTACTGGCTCTTGGCTTGGCTAGCTCACTTAATTTCCGAGACACGAAAAACTTAGGTAGGGTTGTTCTTGTCACTTGACAATGTTGAGTAGCACAACAGTCCATTATTAAGAGTTGGTCATCACACTTAAACAGATGTCGTGTTTTAACTGGATTGTTGTACCGCTCATCACTGCCACGCGACAAGATAAGTATTTCTCCAAAGTACAGTCGATGCAGCCCAAATTGAGTGCTAGGATTTATATAGTTGGCTGTGTTGGGTGGCATCGGGATCAGGGGGGTTGGGGGTATTAGACCAGGGAGTTGAGTTGGTTAGGACTTCACATCTTAGGCTTTAATAGAGAGCTGGCTTGGCGCTCTCTCTCTCTCTCTATCTCTCTCTCTCACACTCTGATATAGAAAACAGAGTCAATTGAAGAGAACCAACTTGGAATGCACGTCATGCATGGGTAGGCCAGGTTTCTTTTAGTTGTACCTTTAAATTTTGCCCCTAATAGATTCTCCCTTGCAGTTGTGGCCAAACCTCATCAAGCCTATATAACAACCAAAACTTTCTCCAACCATTTAACTTCTACAACTCAACCCTCAACTCTCAACCCTCTGTGTGTGTATGAGAGAGAGAGAGAGAGAGAGAGAGAGAGTAGAAGTCTTACTTGTCTCTGAGTAAATTGAAGCAGCTAGCTTAGCTAACAGCTATGGTTTCTTTTCAAGCTCATCCCCTTTCTCCAAACCAGAAGAAGGCAATCACAGAGTCTGAGAATTCATCCAAGAAAAGAAAGTGGGATGATGAGCCATATGATGGTCACGATCATGATCAAGTCGAACAAATTTTCGAAAAGCGTTGGAAACCACAAAACACAGCCAAATCCTTGTTTGATATTGAGCTTCACCAAGAGACTCCATTGCCTTTGGAGTGGCAAAGATGCCTTGATATTCAGGTAAATATACTTACATACATTTTATACCATGTTCAAGATGTGACAGTTAATTTCACAATTTAATTTTTCATGTTCTAAATTCTGATAGTTTCTCTTCTGCTGTGTGCATTATTATGTGCAGTCAGGGCAGATACACTTTTACAATACAAGAACACACATGAAGACTTCTAGGGACCCAAGGAGGAGCCCTGAGCCCCCAAGTCCAGCTCCTCACATGAGCTTAGACCTTGAGCTCAACTTGAGATCCTGTGAGTCAATGATCAGGAAAGCCAATATTTCAGATCACAACAGTGAAAACTCCAGGCCTAATTCAGACATTTCCCTTCACAATTTCCATGATCTTTTCATGGAACCCAGCAGACCAACAAAGAGCAAAAACCCATCAAGGCTGGGGCTCCAAATTGATCATCTTCATCACCAAGAGATGGTAGCCACTGTGTGCATGAAGTGCCACATGTTGGTTATGCTGTGCAGGTCTTCACCTGCATGCCCAAATTGCAAGTACATGCACCCACCTGATCAAACCCCACCAACCCTTTTCAAGCCAAGGTGTAGTAGCTTCATGTGTTAGTTGTAAGATCAAAATCAAGCTTATTAAGTTTATTTAAGAGAAGATATATAAATATGTAACAGAGTTAATTCTGTGTTCAAGACTTGTCTCCCTTGGAGGCTTTAATATGCTAAGAGATACTGACCTTTTTATATAATGTAAATATGCATTATGCTTATCCTACTAGATTTGTTTGAACCTTTTTTATGTTTTTTTTATTTTTGGGATATAACGCCATAGTCTAAAACTACTTTAAATTAATCTAATCTGTCGGAAGGGAAACTCGAACTTGGGTGAAGGGGGTGGGTTCCCTGCCCCACTTGTGCTTAATTTATTATATATTGGAAGAGATCCAGCCTTTAGATTTTTCCATGATTTAACCCTCAGCACACCTGTTGCAAATTAAAGGCGATTTCTAGTGGAGGTCCACGCTTTACTGTCGTAGGTATATCAACATCACATTTGTTATTATATCATGGAAAAATATACATACATATTTTTGGGATTAGGACGACATTTGTGTCAGCATAAGTATTCACTCACTCGTCTCTTATTCTTTTTGTTTTTTGTTCTGAGGGCTAGTCTCACTCTAACTACATACGTTTCATAACCAGCTGATGCAAAACCTAAACATTTTTCTCTCTTCCAACAATCCAGCATGTAATATTTGCAAACCGTAAATTAAGATCATTGATTAGTCAAAATAATGTCCAAATGTGTGATAATGATCCGCCGTCGAAACATAACATTTCAGATATTTGAAAATGAGCATTTCTTTTTATATGATCCTTGAAAATTAGCACATTGTCGATTGAGGGTTCTTTCTGAACATGTGTGTACCTCAAACCATGAAAACCATACAAATCCCTTAAAAGAAAAGAACATTCTAAATGTTCACCAAACCATCACAACAAGATGTGGAAATGTTGAATTACCCGAATCACTAAGTACAAATGCACCATGCCGTATACCTCATCATATAATTGGCCCAATCTGAATAGTAAAATAAGAAGTGGATAAATTTCCACTATAGAGCATTCAATCAATTATGCAAACAGAAGGCCCCTGAAATTTACCATAGTGAAAAAGATGAATTATCACAGTTTTGGAAACCCAACACAAGTTACATGATTGATGATGGGGAAGAAAGTTTCAATGCTAATCTCTGTGTCTAATCTTCTGTGTATCTACATATTGACCTAAAATATCATATGACCTGTTTGCTAATCGTTCTGTGTATTTTCATCTATCCTATATAAGTACCTACTGGCCAGTTGCTGCTTTTCTGTAATTACCTGACACTAATCTCTTATTCATCTTCAGCTTTCATGTAGCAATCACCGTCGGTTTTGAATAGAATGAATACATTCTATACAAATTACCAGACATTAGTCTATCAATCATCTTCAGCTTTCCTGTAAAACTTATTACTGTGCAGTTGCTGTTCTCCATGGACTGGGCAGACATGGTAGTAAGCGCTGACCCTGGTAAGAGCTTCGTTCAAGGGTAAAAGTAAAACTTCCCATGAGGGCAATATGGTCTGATGACCATTGAGGAGATGGAAGACCAGAACCTAAGGCTTCCTTGTCAAGAAGCTCCAGTACACTTTCAAGCCTCAAACTATTAACTGCAGGAAAGCATTACATATACAGTCAAAGGGCAATAAATAAGAAAAATTCAGAACTGGAACAAGCTGTTGGTTATGTTCATTTCAAAAAATACATCAATGCAATATACTTACTGCATCACAAGTGAATGCTATAATCTCATTTTGTAGTCCATAACGCATTCTAACCAAAATGTCAGATTTGCAATGTCTTGGAAGCCAAATAAGGAAGAAGATACATGGTACACATAGAAATGACCAATAAAAACATTTCACAAGATTTTAAATTCATCCAATATGATATAGCTTTTGCTAGAAACGTCTAATTTAATTAGGAGGGACAATGCAAAAACTAAAGCATCATAAGAACCATGAACAAGCTTATTGGCCAATGCTCTACCTAAGGCACCTCTGGAGGTCCAAGCATGCAGATAACTATCTTTTGCAGGAATTGATAAGAGGGAGATTTTCAATAATTTCAATTTATGTATACAATTTAGGCAAGAAAAACAAAAAGGAAATATGCTTCTAGTTTTTTAGCATTGTCACCTAAAACAGAGAACTAAACGTTTGAGAGGAAACAAGATAAACGCATCAACACTGTGGGGGCAAAATTTTGCTCAGCACATCAAGACAAGCAAACAGCATAGAAATTAATTTTAGACCTACCAAACAACCAAGTAGCAGCAGCAAAAAACAATTATTGTTATCATGTGATCCAGAGCAATATAAAACGTAAAGTAGTTGATACTTTGAACCTAACCTAAACACTGCTAACTAACAACGTACGCTGGGAGGCAGGTTAAACTTCTTTTTTCCCCCTGAAAGCTTACCCTGTAAACTTCCCGAATCATTTTAAAACAAGCCAAATCATTGGTTGAAAATGAATTTCAGTGAGTACTGCAAGCATATACCTACTTAAGAATCCATTGACAAACACAACCTTGCATCATTTATAAAGTATAGCTCTTGGTTCCCAAGGCACCGGGACTAGGAAGAGCTTCGATTTTATATTGCAAGGAAAGAATTTCTTTGCAAGTAAGCTTTCCTTTGGATGCTGATTACATCAAGCAGAATTACTGCAGCTATATAAGGCTAAATGTGATTGGTAGGTGTAATTCCCATCCATCTAACGTGTTTATAACTATATGCAATGCCACTTTCCTCATAAGGTTGTTCAGTCAGCACACCAATATTTGAATAGAATTCAAATAATATAAAATTAAGGGTAATTTTGGGAAATAATTTAAGCCTCATTTAAGAACACCTGGATCTCTTATCAAAGAAAGGACATCTGGCTCTCGGGTGACAGACATATAAATAGAGGACAGGAACCCCCATGTGGCCTTTCAAAAGTATAAGCTGTTAACGCAGAGGCAAATTAAACTAAAAATGTACTTCTCATTTAAAGAAAACTAATATTAGGATGAACTTATGCCAGGTAAAAATCTGAGGCATCATAAAATTCTGAAACAGTCGCTCCTAATACCTGTGAAGAAGATATAATCCAGAGTTCCTGTGAATTCTGATGTGAAATTGGTGAATATAGGCTCCATGGTTTCAGAATCCATCTTCCTTCGTTGTTGCTCCTCAATACCATCTGACTGAAAAAAACATGCATATGCACTTTTCTGGAAAACAAAATCTTCGGCATTAGAAAATGATCACAAGAACCATCCTTGGCACAAGCAACAACAAAATATTCAGAACCTCCACCAACTTTAGAGGTGTAGTCCAGGAAAATATCTATGTTCCCATAAACAAGGAGAGATACAATGGCCTTACCAGCTTATATATAGGACAAGGCCGGAGATACTGATATACCCCTAACGGATCGGTTTCCTTGTTGGGAACACTCTGAAGTATCCCCTTACTTATGAAACTATGAGGATTACTGCAATGTTGAATAAGTATATCACTAATCTTCGCTTCTCATTCCATATGGAAACAAATGATTTCCAAAATTTAAAGCATGTCTTAAAAGACGACAAACAAAGATTCAATATCAGTCCAAATACACAGACATACTCTCCCAAGTCTTTCAGTAAACCAGTTAGTAAGAACAGAAGACTAACCTCAGAGGAAGAGAGTTCAAGTCTCCACAAATCAATAGAGGAATTTTCGAGTTGGCAATTGTCCCAAGTCCATCGATGAGGCTCACAACCTGTAAATCAGAAAAGAATCCAGTTAAGTCAATCATGCTCTTTAAACTTATCGTTAATAGATGGAACAGCTACAAATTTTAAACTACACCTGAAACCATTTTACATCTGGAAATTTTTCACTTGCATGTATATGGGTATTGGCCTGCAGTGGAAATGCACATCTGTGTCAGTACCCAAAAATTAATGATGTAAAGCTGTAGAATTTGAAATGGGCACAATACCACACAAATTCTAGGTTGATTGCCATCGAAGGATCCCTCATTTTTAACTCTTTCTAATATAACGACAAGTGCAACATTGTCCTGCAAAATCATGTATAAGAAGTTGACAGAACAAACAGATGATACAGAAATCAGAGCCACAAGAACATAGTGCATAGTGAAAACTATAGGAGAAATGTATACCTTCAACAGACGAAAGCGACCATCCTTTTTCAGTTCAGGTTCCAATGCTTCTACAAATGGCAATGCTGATTTATCATACTCAAGCTACAAAAGCAAATCAGAACCATCAATCACTGGGAACATACAAATTATTCTCACAAATGAGATTTTCCTCACTTTTTCCTCATAAGTACAAGCAAGAGATTCCTTACCTCATATTTCACAATTTCTTTGAATTTATCACGCCGGTAAAATGTAGCACAACCATCAATTGTATATTGGTTAGGCGTATACACCTGCAAGACATCCATTAAATTCATTATCTTGATATAATGTCATCTAACAGTTCACTGAGTTAAGTGATTGCTTTTAGACCAACATATAGCAAAAGACATGTTGCCAAATTGTCTATAAAAATTCATTTGGGTGCACTTTTATCATATATTGTTGATCACATGTTTTGCTCAATGCACAGAAAATTGGGACTGAGAGATAGTTAACGCGATACAGATCATATATTATTAGTAACATAATTTTCATTATTTGTAAACACAAAGAAATTCAAAAATTAAGATTACAAGGGTAAGTGAATTGAAAGTTTAGAATATTACAGTTGGGGTAGTTTGAGCACTCACTGCCATTTCTCTTTAAGCCTCAGCGAGTTACAAAGAATTGACATTCTGTTATTTAAAAACACATACTGAACAATCTCAAGGATGCTTTGGCCAATTCATTAATGAAAAGGACCATAGGAAGGCGGCTATACTTATTTGTGTCCAAGTTTCAGGGACATAATTAACTAGGACAATTAGAGGACAACAGGGCCTCTTTACCACTCCTACCTTGGCACCAAGTACGAAACAGACCTTTAGCTCAGGTCAAGCTAGCTTAGGCTGGGGACCTAGGATGAAATTATACTTGCCAAAATATTTTGCATTATTCTACAAAATAAGTTTGTTTATAGCAATATCCCATTATTGTATAAATCATATTATACAGTAACAGTGGAACCTTATCATCCACAGACTTGTAGTTTGTGGGGTTCACATGGGCCATATGGTTCTTGCATGGACCCTACAAACATAGAAAATTAAGACTGATGCAATTCAAACAATTGATTTTAGGGAATATGTCCCCATTTGAGACGCATCTGGTACAAAAATCAGCATTTCCAAGAGGGAGTAAAGCCATAGTATAGTACACTGCATACTAAGGTATAGAGAAAGAAACTCAATACAGGAGACGTACTGTGGGAGGGGGACAAATAAATTAAGTGCCTTTAAGACTGATTAAAGTTATAGAGAGACTACAACTAAAAATAATCGTTTTTGGGCTAAGTGATGGTATAATAACAGGAAGAAAACTTTATTGAAATTAAGCATACAGGACAGGATTCTGCATGTAACTCAGCCTATTCCCAAATGCAGATGAATACAATCTCTATGTGAAGCAAACAAATCAAAATATTTCTCTTAACAATTCATATATTTAAAACCATAATTATTCCAGATGAGCTGTTTGTACTGCGTATTAATGGTTTATCACCAAGTCAGGCTAAGGTTGGCGAAGGACAACTAAAGACCAAATCTATTTATAAGTAATGCAGGTCAAGTGTAAGAGTATATCACACTTTCAACCTACTAATCTGCCATTCCAAACACCTTGAAAATAAACAAAATAATGGGGATTGGAGGATTTGAACTGAGGACAAACACAACTCTGATACCATGTTAGACAACCATTTAACCCCAAAAGCTTTAGTCGTATATCAAGCCAACAATTTTCTGGTTTTCAGCTAGTATCAACATATAAAAAAAACTTTTGAAAGGAGTCAACATAAAAACAACTTCGTTAATCAAAGAAATGAAGCATGGTATTTTCTATTCTATCTCTCTTACAGCTAGCTTATGATTACATACTTCCACATACCGCACTTTTATGATTACCAATGTATGTGTCCCTAAATTTCAACCAATAAATAATAGGTAATACTACAAAGTAACAAATCACAAAAAACAAGCTAAGCTTCACAAAACCTATGTTAACCCATTTGTTCAGATTGCAAACGATTATCTATGGTTCTATCTATGCAAGCAAGGGTGCATATGTAAGGCAAAGGGATAATAGTAATACTCTTGGCAGAAAAAAGAATCCTGGAAGTGCACACATCGCTACAAAATAGGACATATCACATTACCTCTTTGGTTTTCGTCTTGTATAGAACTGAGTATCCACATTTTGCCAATGCAGGTTTGAGTAAATCCTCAAAATGGTCTCTCTGTACCTGCCCATCAAATAAGGAACAATACACAAGGTAAAACAGGGTTGTGCAATGCGGGGCTCTAGGACCAACATTCATATAAGAAGTTTGAGAAAACATAGTTACCTCCTGAAGACATAGGATATCTGCGTCATATTCAATGATCTCATTAATTATATTTTGCATACGGTATTCCCATGACAGAGCCCACTCTGGGCAGTAGCTGTACCTATTACCAGTAGCATAAATACCAGCAAGGATATTATAGGAGAGCACACTAAATGTCAAATCACTGGAAGAGTGTGCTTCCAGACCAGAGTTCCAAGATTTCCAGACGCATTTAATTGTAGAACGAGGCGGATGAGCAGGAGGATAAATCACAGGATCTGTCACTGTGATGTTTACTGGGGTGATATTAGTACCCATTGAACAATCAACAGCTGCACATTCCAGTCTCAGACGGTGTCCAATATCATGCTCTGTAGGTGCATAAGACTTCGAAGATCCAACTTTAATCCAAATTTTCCCGTCCGGTTCCATCACCTTTTCATTCTTATCAGAGGATGAACCCACAACAAAGTCAGACTCCGGCCAATATTTATCAGGCCCATAACTCTTGAAATTTCTTACTTCTTGTTGATTGTTACTCAAAGTCTCACTAACAGTTTCAGCTGCATAACGATGGTACACCTTGTGCTTTTCCCATGCATCCACATAACAACTATTCGAGCAATGGTAACTTCCCTTGACAGATAAATTCAGTTTTACACATTCCTCGCACTGCATTTTGGCCAACATGTCAAGATGGACAGAACAGCGAACCTTGTCCCGGTCAAAAGAAGAGCTAGTCTGCTCTCGGTACCTACATATTGGAACATGATTGAACATGAATCCACTATAATAGGTGCTACTATACTACAACGAAGCTTCTATAGAACAACAATTTTCCACACTTGGAAATGGAAAAACTCCAATATACTATTTCCACCTCTTACTTCATGTGCATGTGAACAAAACTTTGTGACAATTAATAACGGGAGAACAAATAAAGGAAATATACGAAAGCTTGAACTTCATTTTGCTGCTAAGAAAATTTAAAAATTCTCATTATGACAATTATTATCATTACAATTAGGAGTGTACAAATAGAAGGGATGATAAGAGAAATTTAGAAACTCGGTCATGGTTTTTTATATTATAAATAAAATAAGAGAATATGAAAGAAAATATATACATGAAGGACTATTACAAGTTACAAGTGCCTACCTTAAAGGGAACAAAATAAAATAAGTAAATAAAAAACACGTCAGCTTTATCTTAAAGATAAAACCATTTTTCTCAGCTACCAAACAGAGCCTTATTTTTCAGACCAAAAAAAACAGAGCCTTATTTTTCAGACCAAAAAAAACAGAGCCTTATTTTGAACAGAATGACCCACTTCACATGAAAACAAAAAAAATTTAAGAAAGGAAGAAATGTCGAATCTCAAGTAATCTTGATTGGTTCAAGATACCACAATCCTACTCTCCAAATTTTGATTCTTCTCAGGAAAAAAAACACCTACTTGTTTTGTTGGCATTAAAGTTTACATCTTGGAACCAAAAGTTCACTAAACGAAAGGGTAATCTTTTCCTCTGTTTCTTTAGCAACCGAAACAGACATTCATGTGGAAAAAAAACACATGCATTGTGATTAAAATCACATTCATCAAGGAAAATAACAAAAAGATCATAAAACAAAAAAATTCACAGAAAAAAAGGGACGAAATTAAGAGAGAAAGAAAGAAGAAAAAAAAAAGGCTAACCATGAGAAAGTGAGCTCGTGAGGCGGGACTTCAAGTTGAAGGAAAGATTGGTGCCTACTCACACGAACGATAGGGAACATTCTGCAGCCAAAGACAGGAGTGTTTGAAGAAAGTTTCACAAGGAGTCTGAACTTATCACTGCCAGTCTCAGATTCTTGAGGACCCATTGAACCCAAAAGGGCTGCTTGGCATTACCAGGGAAATGGGATTTGGTGAAGAAAATAAAATGGTTCTTGGGGTTTGGCGAAATGGGTGGGTTTTTGTTTGAACTTTGAAGGCCGAGAGTGAGAAAAAATGGGGCTTCTGGGTGTTGGGTTTTGTAGGGGTTTTTGTCAGAGCCTCGGGGTTTTACAGAGTCAGGCTCCTTGCTCTATTTATACACAAATAGGGACTGAGGTGTGCTTGGCTGTTGTCTCTCTTACCGCTATTTTGTCTGCACGAATATGTACGCGGAGAAAATAAACAGGAAGGGAAAATTGGTTTTATTTTTATTTCCGAAAGTTAATAATTAATTTTCTTTTCTTTTTAATATTAATTGAATTGTGAAATAATATTTTTTGCTATTACTTCTTTTAGGAAAAAATTGAATATTTAGTATGTTCTTCTGCAAGCATTTTCTTCGTTGTAGTTACTTATTGAGTTAAAAAGTTTTGACTAAACAAATAATCTAACGTGTTCTTCGTTGTAAATATCTGAAATGCATTTTTTGACCGTAATTACTAGTTTATAAAATTTAGTAATATATTGAAAATTATACTCAAAAAATGGTTTTTTTATATTCATTATAGTTACCTAAATGAGTTGTATTCTTTATGTAATGTAATGCGTTCTTCGTTGTAGATACTTGAAATACATTTTGGACATAATTACTAGTTTATGTGATAACAATTTAGTAATTTATAGAAAATTATACTAAGAAAATAGTTTGTTATATTCGTTGTAGTTACCTAATGAGTTGTATTCTTTTTACGTAATCTAATGTGTTCTTCGTTGTAAATACATGAAATGTATTTTTTGACCATAATTATTACTTTATGTGACAACTATAGGGAATGAATCTCCCAGGCTATTTGGAAAGACATTTGTGCCCTGAAACTAAAAAGAAAGAGACAAAATTAACCATTAGACACACCGGTGTAGTGTGAACCAAAAAGTCTCTGATGCCGAAGTCAATAGTGAGGAATGAACAAAGTAGGATTTCTTAGTTTCAAGGAACATTTACATTCTCCTTAAGGAATAGGTTGCTTTCCATAAATTTATGTCTTGCCTGATTTTTCGTCATGAGTGGCTACGTGTTTAATGTCGATTGGATGCATTAAGACTCGTTAGGTCGAATGCTAAGTCAACTAGCCGTTTAACTTGAGGTGTGTGGATAATTATCTGGAATGGATGAGTGTAATCTCCTTATTTATTGAGGCCGTAATAAATAAGGTGATCTTGGTTATTTGGGCTGATTTGTTGGAGCCATGTTGTCTAAGAAAGAGTCTTGCTGGGCTCATCCCTTTGAGCTTGTTCATGCTTGTAAGGCACAAGGGCCCAAGTAGGGCTAGATTTGTATTTAGCCTTGCTTGGCTGTGGGCTTTGTTGAGCCTTCCTATGTCATGATGGCTTATGCGCAACCTATGTATCTCGTTACCCTAGCAGATGAATCGTCATTTGTCACCTTGTGGACAGTAGGGATGACAATTTTCCTCTCGGGTAAGGATCTTTGCTAGGATTCAACCATAATGGGTCGAGTATGAAGGACAAAAAACAGGTATAAGGATGGATACAGGGAATTTTTTGGGTATGGTGTTCAGGGAGGGGCATGGATGGTATTTTAATCCCCAACCCGAACCCTTCCCGTTTAGAATATATATATATATATATATATCTACACAGTATATATAAATATGATATTAAAGTGATTGTGCCAACAATATTTTATATTTTATATTTTCTATGATTATATTATATATTTATATACTTTATATGAATCTTAAGCCTCACTACTTATATATTTAGTTCAATTTTAATTAATATGTAAACATTCTTATATTGTCTTATATGTATATATTATATATATATATCCATTATCTTGCTCTAATTCAATTTTTTTCTTTCAACAAAAGTAGTTCTATATTGTTTTTTCTTCTGTAATAGGGCGGGTCGGGGAACTTATTCCCCAAAAAAGGTGGGGATGGAGAATTCCCGAAATGAATATTGTGTGTATGAAGGTGGGGATGGGGGAAAAAACTTAATGGGGATGGGAATAGGAATGGTATACCCACCCCCAACCCATTGCCATCCCTTACACTTCCTCCTACCTTTAATTAGGGACAGTTTAGTCCGTGTGAACATCCTTCTATCCAAATGGCATATTGTCATTGGTGTGCGAATATTTACTTCTACAATAACAATTTAGCAATGCATAAGATTATATAAGAAAATAGTTTGTTATATTCAATGTAGTTATCTAAAAGCATCTTCAACTGATGTGTCAAAAATGCCACATAAACATTTAACAGATAAAAATAACATCTCACATCACTCCAACCAATGCGTCAAAGCTGATGTGGAATAAAGGCTGGAAGTTGAGATGTTATTTTTGACATCCTAAAAGCAAGATATCAAATGAATATTTTATTATTTTTTCTTTTCGTTTCTTTTTAATTAAAAATAAATCAACACTAAAATGTAATAAAATAATAATTTAATTTGACATATCGAGTAGAGTGTAAAGCTATGTAAGAGCATCTCCAAAGGAGATGTCAAATACCAAACATCAAATTTAAATTTGATGGATGATGTGGCAATTTGACATTTATACAGTTTTACACTCCACTCGATATGTCAAATAAATAATTATTGTAATAGCCAAATCATTTAAGATAAAGAAGAAAATAATAATAATAAATGAAAGTAACAGCCAACTATCTTTTAAAAATAATAAAATATTCATTTGATATCTTGCTTTTGGGATGTCAAAAATAACATCTCAACCTCCAGCCTTCATTCCACATCAGCTTTGACACATCAGTTGGAATGATGTGAGATATTATTTCTAACTGTTAAATGTCTATATAGCACTTTTGACGAAGCGGTTAGAGATGTTCTAAGATGTCAAATTGCCACATCAGCCATCAAATTTAAATTTGATGTTTGGTATTTGACATCTCCCTTGGAGATGCTCTAATGAGTTATATTCTTTTATGTCCAGTTATTAGCATATGCCAAATTTTGATATTTAGGATGCATACTGGTATGTAGTTCTTCGTGATAAAAAGTATTTACCTGCGCACCCGATATGTAGTTCTCTATTGAGCCTAACATTTTGAACATAATTTAAAAATTGTTGGCCTTTTTTTAAATTAAGATGAACATGAAGAAGCAAGGAACTTGTAGCTCACGTGATAAAAAGTATTTACCTGCGCACTCGATATCCTAGCTTCGAATTTTCCTTCCCCAATACTACTTGTAATTTTTATTTTTTAAAAAAACTTTAATGAAGCTCGAGGAATTTGGACATTTGTAATTTACTGAAAAACCTGTAGACGTGGATAATTATGGCTCACTAGGCGAATTTTAAAAATCCAAATTGAGTCGCATTGACTTGCCCTGAGGTCCAACCGACACGTGTAAAGTAGCAGAACCCCCAATTTAAAAGCAATCTCAATTCAAAACCAAAATAATTCAAATTCATACAGTGAAGAAATTGAGAGAGAGAGAGAGAGAGAGAGAGAGAAAGAGAGAGCGCTATGGAGGGAAGAGAGACCCAAACCAAAAGCGAAGGAGGCGAAGCTCTGAGATCGCATGCTGCAATTCGCTGTGCAAAAGCCGCTCTTCTTCTTTCTTCTCTCAAATCGCCGCCCAATCGCAGCCTCAACACCGCAATCGACAACGACGACATTTTGGTACTAATTTGCTCAGTACATTAATCTCTCACTTTCTCTGCTCATTTTTACCTTGATAATCTTAGTTGTGATCGGAATTGAAAATTCGATGATCAGGAGAAGGAGATTCTGAGGAGAGAGATCGGAGATCTGAAAATGGAGGTTGTGAGGGAGCGACTCCAGAACAAGAGGATCAAGCTCTGCAGCTTGTTGGAGCTTCTTCTTCAGCTGGTGTTGCTCTTGGCCCTTTCCACTTTCTTTTTCATGCTCGCGTTCGAAAATGGAGCTTCGTAGTTACTCTTTCCTCTGTGAAATCGGAGTTGCAGTAGAAAACAAGTAAATAATTCATTAGCAACGCGACACCTGATTAATTAGTCCTAATTTTCATTAATTTTCATGAAGTTTTATTATCTTTTTGGTCTGTTGATTTGGATCGGTTGAGTTGGGCTGTAGTGATCGAGCAAATACTGCAGCTTCAATTTTTGTTGTGTTTGTGTGGTTTTATTTTGGGCTTAAAATCAGATAAGGTCCATGTGGTTTACTCTATTCTATTCCCGTCTTTAATTTTGTTTTTTTTATATGCCCTCGTGGTTTTGGTTTGTTACCAATTTTAATTGATTTGTGTACGGATATTACGGTTATTTTACGTATATTTCACTCATTTTTAAAATTATTTTAAATTTTTTTATTTTAGACTCGGTTCATGCAATTTTATTAGAGCAATTTAGGAGTGATTTTGGATAGGCCAATAATCACTTTTATGGAGAATCACTTCTCATATAATCACTTTATGGTTTTAAGGCTCTGTTTAGTTCATGGGAAATGAGGCTTAAGTATGGAAAATCAATTGCTTTCTCATGTTTGGTATGCATAGAAATTGTTGCCCGGCACATGAGAAAGTAGGGGAAAAATAAGTCATTCTTCTATCTTGGGTTTTGTTTTCTCTCCTCATGAGGAAGTTTGGTAAATTGAGCCAACATTAAATGCACATTTTTTATGACCCCATTAACAATTTAGAATTTAAACATAGCATTAAATGCATTCATTTTTTATTTGATTTCATATGGGTTTAAGTGGAAAATTAAACAAACTTTGTTTTACATTCCTATGCAAACTAAACATGTGAAAGGAAATAAAGTGATATTTCTTGGTTGCTTTTCCAACATTACCAAATATGGGAAAGAAATCTTCTATTTCTCATCCCTTGAGAAAGGCATGAGAAATTATTTCCCCTCAAATCTTTTTCGAAAACCAAACGGGGCCTAAGTGATTTTATGAAGAAACACATGTGAGGT